ATGAGGACTACTTTAGCCCACATTAAAATAGTCTAGGGACCAATTTAGCAATTCTATAAATTCTAGGATTAAGATAACCCCATGGAAATAGCTAGGGGGCTATCTTGACACTTTACTCTTTCTTTTGAAAAATTTGTAACTAAACTTCATTCAATTTGCTAAATATTGCCAGGAATGATGGCTTCCTGCGTGAAGCACTTGCAACGAATGACAGCTTACAAAATGCACTTTCAAAATATGACGCACTTATAAGACCAAGCGTCCCTCCTCCCCTTGCTCCTGCAATCGCTGAACAATCTGACGACAAAGAGGAAGAAGAAGATGGTTTTTCACATTTAGCAAATAGGTCGGTGCACCTACTCAGACAACTTCTACTCACCAGTATGACCTCAATTCTATATTACAATTATGAAAAAACATGCTTCTATTTCTACAGGAAATCTTTACTTAAAACAACTGGAGAACAAGAGATCTCAGCAAACAAGGATGGTGTAGACAAAAGCGATGCATTGATCGTATTTGATCCCCCAGCGCCAGCTGATTCTTCCAAGAATGAAAGAGACATGATTGATCTCCTGAGTCTCACATTATCTCCTCAAACAGATATGCCGTCGCCCCCGCCACCGCCTACAGCTAACCAGAATCAAAATCCATTCTCCAATTCTCCCAATTGGGAAGAGTATCATAACTATTCTCAGCCACGTATGCCAAATGAAGGATATACTACCTATAACAGTTACATCGCACCTTGGTCTCAAGTTGATGTTGTTGAACAATTACCACAGTATACAAATAACTATCTAGCCACACCATGGATTTCTCCTGAAGCAAGCTTGAACCCCTTTGTATCAGCAACATCCACTCAGACCCAATACCCGGAATCTCAGTCTAGAGCGGTTATAGGTTCCTCTGATTCAACTGGGATAGCAGAGAATTCCAAAGCTCTACAGAATTTTCGCTCATTTGGGTCGAAAGAAAACCAGATATATGCCACTCTAATAAATCTGAGAGACCCTTCCAGCGCTCCAAAACCATACAAGCCAGACAATCTATTTGACGATCTGATAAAGTTGAGGAATTCGGATGGGAGTCTGAAAACCAGAGATGTATCAAGTCTCTGGGGATCAGGGCAAGGCATGGCAAGTGTTAAGTGATAAGGTCATAATGGCTATGTTGCGTTACTAATAGCCATGCAAAGTGGTTCCATGGTGTGTGAATATCATGAGAAGTGATGGCTTCTTCCCTTTCCTCTGCAATGATTGATTATATTATATTATAGTGTTTATGAGACTTGGATTTTATTGACTTGATGTATGAGTTTGTTTGGATCTTGCAACCCTTTTTGCATCTATTGTAAAGTATTTTATTTTGAAAATTGTTATTTTATTTTTTTTCCTACTTGAATGGATCGCCTAATTCAAAAAGTCATGGATCTAGGATCAGCTCAGGGTGGGCAAATACTTACCCTAACATGTATGCTTTAATGTGCATCATATCTAATTTTATGCACCCCTCCCCCTCAATAAATCATTTTACCTAATAATTCATAAAAAAA